AACTACGCAGGATTGACCAAACAGCGCAGTGGGGAGGGAGATACGTACTGGGTGAATGTCTGCTGAGCTCCAGCTCTGGTCTCTCCAGGCTACTCTGAAAGTCAGGAGGCAGCAGGGAAGCCACTCCCTCAGGATGGATCATCTCGTCCTCCGACTCAGCTGAAGCTTCTGCAAAGTACAGATTGGGTCGGGGCAGGGAGGGAGTGAAGGGCTCAGCATATGGGAATATGTGGAGAGCAGGATATCAGGCACAGTCAAGATACAGAGATACATACCAAATGCAGCAGTGCACAGAAAGAAAAAAACACCCTAGGATTAAGCTCTACCTCATCTAAATGGTAGCTTAATTTGTAAACTCTTCCTGTTGGCAGGAATCTTTTTCTAACAAGACAGGCAAATTACACTTCCCTTTCTCTCAAGGGTACACAGTAACTCATTTGGTTCCATAAAATACCAAAGCAAAACGAGTAGTAGTCTCAGCTTGACTTATTCTTGAAATCACCTAGTTAGATGGGCCTAGCTACTTGGTGACAGGAATGAAAAGGAAGAACTTGTTAGAAGTGACAATCTGGGTTTACCTTCAAGTTCTGCAGCTTCTCGAGCTTCACGTTCCAGACGCTGCCTAAGTAACTCCTGTTGCTTTTCCAGATACTGCTTTATGAAACTGTTGTTGCTCATTTCCTCACCAATCTGTGTAGAAGAAACAGAAAAAGAAATTCTAGGAAACCAAACCAAGAAAATGCGAGGAAAAAAGTTCCATGGAGCAAAATCTAGCCCACATAGCTGGACTCAGGAAAACAGCTTTTGGAAGGTCCTTTTCTAAACTACTCTTTATTAAGGATCAGAACAAATAGTCTTGTGAACCGGGCATTGTGGTGCACATCTATAATCCCAGATACTCAGTAGGCTGACAGGTGGATAGCAAGGTTGAGATCAGCCTGGGCAATTTAGTGAGACCCTGTCTCAACATAAAATAGCCAGAGTGGTGCCACACGCCTGTATACCCAGCACTCAGGAGGCTGAGGCAGAAAGATTGCTCTGAGTTCCAGGCCAGCCTGGGCAATATATTGAGTTCAAGGCCAGCCTAAACTACATAGCAAGACCCTATCTCAAAAAACCACAATAAATAAATAAAATAAAATAGGCCAAGGGTGTAGCTCAGTAGTATTATGCTTGTCTATCATGTGCAAGGCCCTAGGTTTAATCCTTAGTACTGCAAAAAATTAGAACATTAAAAAATAAGTAGCACATCAAAGTGACAGAAGATGACAAAGAGGAACTATACACTTTTTAAATATTCAGTACCCACCCAAAGTGATGCTGGTATAAAAAATAACTTAAAAAGAGATCAAATTTCTGAGGATGCCTTTTTCTCGTAGCGCTGAAGACTGAACCCAGAGCCTCATATGTAGTAAGCATGCCCTCTACCAGAGAGCTCAATGGCAAGCCCAAATTATGCCATTAATGTGAGGGAGATCTGGCTGATCTGACCAGCTAGGCAGGTGTCTGTCCCCTTCCTCCCTCACCACTCCATGTGCATTCCTCCCAAAGCTGCACACACTCAAAGAGGAAGACCACTCAGAGGAGGATTATTTCCTCAACCAAAGGTATACGAGTAGCTGTGCTCTCCTTGTTGTTCTCCAAACAAGCTCTCAAGGCCCAAATTATGCCTTTAAAACTTTTGGATAATCCAGGACATTATCTAGAAATAATCTAAAAAATCCAGGGGCTTATCACTTTTCCCATTTTTCCTGTAGCACAGATTCCCATGTCCCTCTTCTTTCAGTATTCTCTAAGTACTCCTCCATATTGCTTAGCAAGTCCTATTAGAACTATAGAAAAAGCTAAGAAACCTGAGTAAATTCTTCCTGTGGTGTTAATGACATTTCCTACGCATAGTAAACATTATGTTTCTCCTAAAGTAGAAATGAGTCTCTTGTTATTCAATGGACACTGATGATGTCTGAGTTGCATGTATTAGAGAATAAGCATGTTTGCTACTAAAATCTTGTTAGTAAAAGGTAAAACTCCAAAGATTAAAACGCAATTAGCAAAAGGAATATAATTTTAAGCTGATTAGTTTATGCAGCTTCTTATGCTTGTTATAGTACTTAATGTAACCTCTGAAAGCTGGCTACATTATTATACTTACAACTTAATGAGCTTGTAACAGGGGAATAGGAAAGTTCTCTTGTTTTCCATAGTACCCTGGGACTTCATTTAGTATGGCGCTGTACACCACTGAAATAACACAGACCTGGGTTTCTCCTTGTATTATGTTACATGTTATTCTAAGATGATTTCAAGAGCTGAAAGAATCCTCAAGATAGTGCAGTCTAAATCAGGTGTGCCTATAATCCCAGAGCTCTGAAAGACGGAGGCAGGAAGATTTTAAGTTTGAGCACAGCCTGGCCAATTTAGTGAGATTATGCCTCAAAATAAAAATATAAAAAAAGGGCTTAGGATGAGCTCAGTGTAAGGGTCTTGGGTTTAATCTTCAGTATTGGGTTGGGGGGAAGATTGTGTAGTCTAAAAAATTTTTTTTCGTTTTGTTTTCTGAGAAAGGGTCTCACTATGTAGTTCAGGTTGGCCTTGAACTATGTAGCCCAGGCTGGCCTCAAACTTACAAGATCCTCCTGTCTCAGACTCCCAAGTGCTGGGATTATAGGCATGCATTACTACACCCAGGTCAGTCTACAATTTTTTCTTTTTATCTGTGGGATAATTTCTTCAAAAGCAATACACAGAAACTCAATACATAAAACAGATAAAAGCAGATCTAATCTACTAATTTAAGAGAAATATGAACCGTGTCTGTTTCAAAAGGATTAACCTTCCCTAAGAAGCCCTTCAATCAACTACAAAACCCCAGAACAGCTATAAAACTACAGATCTAATCCAACTGTTTCTGATATTACAGTCAAGGAAACCAAGGCTTCCAAAGGTTAAGTGTCTTGTTCTAAGTAACAGAACTATTAGAGATGTTTAAGAATAACTCAAAAGCCAGGAGTGATGGCACATTCTTATAATCCCAGCACTCCTAAGAGGCCGAGACAGGAGGGTGGTCAGTTCAAACTCAGCCAGAAAACTTAAAATACTGTCTAAAAACTGTAGCTCAGTTTAACGGACTTATGTTCAATCCACCCAACCAAACAAAAAACCCTGTATGAAGGCACATGCCTGTAATCTCAGCTACAAGGGAGGCTGAGGCAGGAGTATCATCAAAGATAGTAGTTATATCAGGAATGGTGGGTGATTTAGAAAGAACTGAATTCAGGCTGGGGCTATACTTCAGAGGTAAAGCACCTGCATGTGTGAGGCCCTGGGTCAATCTTGAAAAGTGTGTATCAACAAAAGAGTTCTTGATCAGCAACTACTGTCCTACAGTGTCCTAACGTAGCCTACTTCATAGCCATATGCAAAGATATATCCAAAGATATAAACTACTTTTCCCAAATCAACAGCAAATGACTTCAGATTCCTGTACTACACTTAATCAGATCCATACTTTTTGGTGCGTACCATTTCAAGTAGTATCAGAAATTAAGAGCTCCTCTGATCTTCTTACCTCATGCTCTTGTGTAAAACTGATTAGAATTCAATTGTCCTAGCATGAGAACATTACCAACCAAAAGAATGTAGGAAAATATCTGCGAGGAATTAAGGATCATATATACAACACCATGCCATTCCATGTTATCTTTATTTCCCAACAGCACACTCCATCTAACAAACCTTCTTTCTTACCTGGGAATTTGGCTGGAATGCAGCATGGGGTGTTGAGTGTTTCTGTAAATTTTCTAGCATTAGAGCCTGGTATGGAGAAGGGCAAAAGTCAGAAACTGGGAGAAAACGAAGAAACCAAACTTCCACCCCCTCCCATCACCTCTTCATTAAACTCAGTGACTTAAATATACACTTCAACTGTACTTCTCTTACACAGCCCTAAAAGCACTTTATTGTTCTCATTCATCTTCCAAAGACTTAAAGGTAGCCATGGTTATGCTCCTAAACATACACATGAAAATACAGGCACACAGAGAATCGGTACCTGATTATGTCAGAAAATAAGTGGTAACAGAACCAATACTACACTCCCTATTATCTTCTATACTTTTAGCCAGAACCTCTTCTGTATATGGCCATATAGAATATAAATTGCTTCTAATATTCAAACTTCAAACACATGAAATTATGAAACGTGGGGCTGCTTGCTTGGGGCTGAATGAATTACTTGTTCAGTTACCTGGGAACAGAACTACCTAACTTGTGTAACTCAGAATGACACATTTTTCAAATTTATAAAAATTTCGAAGAGCTACAGAAAACAACCACAGACCCTGTTAACTCTCGTCTGACCTAATCCACACCCACATAAAATCATCAGCTTCTGTATAAGCAACAGTCTGCCAACTCTTGAGTCAAACTAGCTCTAATTGGTATCACAATATCCTCATTTTCCTTCCATTTTCACAAACCTATACACACCGGTCCATCTATCTCATGACAAGCCCAACCCCATCTACTTAAACGGATTCAAAATCCCTAACGTCCATCAACGAGCCTCAACTCGTTCATCTAGTCACCAAATTTTATCCATTCAAATTGCTTCTGGATTCCCTATAGACACCCCATCTCACCAAGTCCCGTCAAATAAGGTCTCACCTTTTGATCTAATCAAGCAGACATTCTTACACTGCCCCAATCCTATTCTTGCAGATACTGATACCAACCCAATCCGCCCTCCGCCCAACCGTGCCCCTAACTCGGACCCAGCCCAACTCGCCCCCCTCAGGCCAGGAACGCCAGTGGTTGTAGTGGGATTTAACTCCTTCTGCAGCGCATGCGCCGGAACCAGAGACACAAACAAGGAGGGGGTGGGGGAAGGAGGAAGGAGCTTAAGACACTCCGGGAGAGTAGCGCGCACCCTCCCATTTTAGGCTTGCGCTGCAGCCGTTAAGGCGGGAACCGGGGGGCGGCCACACCCCCCCGCGCCCCCTCCCATTTTAGGCTTGCGCTGCAGCCGTTAAGGCGGGAACCGGCGCGATCTCTACTCCAGCGCAAGCCTCACCAACCACCGTGCGCGCGGAACTGCAGGCTCGCGCTGGCGGCCTGAGAGCTCGCGCCGAGCCCGGATACTGCGCCTGCGCCGCAGTGGAGACTCGTCTCTACCGGGTCCGCTCCTCTCCGATAACCCGGCAACGCCGACTCCTCACCCCTTTGAGCCGCTTGACCAGGGTGCTCTTCTGCCCGCTCTTGGCTAGGCCTCGCTGCTCCAGTGCGGCCTTCAGGTCGGTCACCCGCAGTGCCTGAAGAGGCTTCCCGTCCAGAGTCACCTCCTCCAGCTCCGCCATCTTGCGTGAGGTACTCGGGTCCGTCCCGACGGCTTCGGGCATCTTCGGTAATTTCCGCCAACGCCCTTCGAACGTACTGAGCTGACCCCGCCCACTGCTAGAGCCTACCCCTGGATTACCACTCAGAACTCCCGGGTTCCTCCGGAATTGTTCGGGTGTTTCCGATGCCGCATCGCCACCAATCCATTCTTTCCATCCGCCCTGCGACTCCACCTTTTTCGCTTGTTTTCAGACTCGGTTATCTTCGTCTTGCCGAGGCTTTGAATCGGACCTATCCGGAATTTCTCGCCTCTAGTATAAGCGTAATCGGTACTATTCGGCTATCTCCGGACCTGGCGCGGAGGTGCTGGGGCGCTAGGGTGTTTGGGACTGGTCCGAGGCCGGAAGTACGTGGGCTGCCGGCTGGCTCTGTTTAAGGTTTTCAGGAAACATGGAAGTTGTGGCAATGGTTGGAGTCGAAAGGCTCTTGTGAGGCTCTCCGAAGGCTGAAAGGAAAAGGGAGGTAAGAGGGGAAGAAGTAACTCCTTGAGTTGGGTCGTGCTCAGTGTTTTCGGGTTATCTTTGTAGGGCAAGACCCCCTACTCTGTTAGGGAAACAGCTGCGGTTCCTTATCTTCTGAATAAAGGAATAGTATGTTGCTCATTTGGAGCATGGGAATAAAAGCCTCGTGGTCCCCAAAGTGGACAAGAAGGAGCAGCCTTGAGCTTATCGTAGAAGTCAACGTAGTGAAACCTTGGAAAACTTTCTGAATAAAAGAATAAAGTTTCTTTAGCAGGAAGGAACAGCCAGCCGCCTGAAGAGCCATTGAGGAAACGGAAGCAACACTGAACTGTTAGGATTCTTATGCTGATATTGTTTAGGGGTTCCTTTCTTTGTCACCACAAACCTTTCAACTTGCAGCAGAAGAAGCAGTAATATGTTACAAATATTTTAATGTTTTCCACATCCAGACTGTAAAGCTGAAAACTTCAAGCCAAAGTGGCTGGCCTTTTAGTTGCAGTCCTGATGCAAAATCAATGGGAGAACATCAATACGTATCATGCAGTGAGGAAAGTTATTCAGAGGCACAAATGGTCACACATCACTATATAACACTTGTTAGATCTTGGTATCAGTAAACTGGATTTTTTTCAGAGCTTTGAAAATTTGGCTTCACGTTTCTTTGATAGCTTATTTGGGGCAAGACCCTCACCCTGCTCTTTAGTGTTTTCTTGTTTTAACAGGAAATATTAAGGGGGGTCTAAGAGTGCATATGTAAATCACAAGGAAGACTGTTTCATCATATATAATGTTTTTTTCTTTTTACTGAAGAGTGAAACCAGGGCCTTTACACTGAGCTAAATCCCCAGCTCTTTTTAAAATTTATTTTTGTTAATTTTGAGAAAGGGTCTTGTTGAGTTGCCCTTGCTAGGCCTTGAACTTGTGATATTCCTGCCTTAGCTTTCTAGAGTGCTGGATTACAGTCATGTGCTGCCATGCTGGGCTTTTTTTTTTTTTTTCCTCTTCCCTCCCTTGTCCCCCGCCCCTTTTTTTTTGGTAGTTGATAGCTTTGGAACAGTTAGTCTTTAATCCCTGATGGCGCATGTAAGAGTTTTCTAAAGATTCATTCTTTCATTAGAGAAGACAATGATGAGTCAACATTCTTTTTTTCTCTCAAGTTGGAACACTTGGGTAGGAGGAAGGAAAAAAAGCAAGAAATATGTTAGACATTGTCTCAATGTTGCCCCAGCAGGCTTTATTGGTTATGTTTAGATTCTTTATAAGAAAGGTAGAAAGAGGCATTTGGTTGTGGAGGATAACGGGTTTGAAAAAGAAAAGGGTCTGACAAATATGAAGTGTTTCTTGGGTGACTTTAAGATAATTGTATAATGATGGAGATACAGGATTTTCTTGTGTTTCTGTAAATCAAATCTGAAAAGTTATCTCTTTAGTTGTTGACTGAGTGCAGAAATATTCGTCAGTTGTACTTCAGTTGCTCTGTCAGGAGAGAGTATAACAATGCCTTTATGTTTCAGGATGCCACTGGAATCACCTTCCTCTTCAGTGCCACTATCCTTCTCTTCTGTGTTACCCTCAGTACCAGACACTATTACCAGTTCTTCCCTTCCTCCAATGTCTTACATCACTTCCCAGGAGATGAAGTGTATTATTCACTGGTTTGCCAGTTGGTCAGGTTCTCAACGTGAACGTTTTCTGCAAGACTTGGTAGCTAAAGCAGTGCCAGGAAAATTACAGCCACTGCTGGAGAGTCTGGAGCAGCTTAGTGTATCTGGACCAAACCGACCACCTTGTATCTTTGAGTGCCAGCTGCGTCTCTGGGATCAGTGGTTTCGAGGTTGGGCTGAGCAGGAGCGTAATGAATTTGTGAGACAACTGGAAGTCAGTGACCCAGACTTCGTGGCAAAATTTTACCAAGCAGTGGCTGCTACAGCCGGTAAAGATTGATAGGCATTCAAATTCAGGAATAAAACTACAGCTGATGGAGCTGAGGTCATGACTCTACAGTGAGAACTCAGTTCATATGTGTCAAATATTTGGGTGTAGGGGCTGGGGATTTAGCTCAGCAGTTAGGTGGCTTGCCTTGCAAGTGAAAGGACCTGAGTTCAATCCCCGGTACCCCCCGACAAAAAAAAAAATGCTTCTGCACTGCAAATATTCGGGTGTGATATCCCAGTGAGCTGCCTGAACTTCCTGGAGAACACAGACATATTTATTTCAACTTTATCAGCGTGTCAACTGGACTCTATAAATCTTATCCATCTAAGCAAATCCAGATCATGCCAGTCTCCTAGTTTGTTTTCCTAGAGATGTCAAAATCTCAAGAATGTAATGGCTTTTGAAACAATAACCAAAAAGAAAACTACGTTATATATATAACTCAAGCCTACTGCTGGCCTAGGTAAAGAACTGCTCCAGAAACAGGAAAAAATAATAAAAGGCATTTTTATCATGTAGCTGAATTCTGGTTTTATCACCCTTAGCCAGAGTCTAGCATAATTATGTGACAATCGCAATCCAGTTATGATTTAGTAAAATTATGGAAAATTAATAGAGATAGTTACTTCCTTCACACTGTTTGACTTGCAGTGAAAAATAAAAATACCAAACATCAGTGTGCTCTTTTTTTGTTGTTATACTAGAGATTGAATTCAGGGCCTTGCATATTCTAGGTAAGCATTTTACCGCTGAGCTACATAGCCAGCCCTTTATTTGTTTGGAAACAAGGGCTGTAAATTGTCCTGGGTGGCCTTGAACTTGTGATTCTCTTGCCTTAGCCTCTCAGGTGGCTGGGATTATAAGTGTGCACCAATTCTAAAACATAACCTTGGAACTGGTAGCACATGTTCCTTTTATGTTTCTACTGGAAAACAGTAGGGAAATAAGTGACACTTAATGAGTTAACAGTTTATTTTTTGTACCAAAATAACATAGATCTTCATAGCCAAAATACATGGTCATATAAATCTTAAAACCATGATGTTATATTTTAACCATAAGATTTTCAAAACCTTTTTTTTTCTTTTCCATTGCAAGGCTAGTATAGAGTTGATGTGCTGGGAAGGAGGCATTTTGAAGAAAGAACTTATGTATAAACATTAGATTTTTCCATTCATTTGTCTCAAGAAATAATCCTACCCCACACAATGTTTTAGGTAACATCATGCTTCCCTTATTCCATTTGGACCCCTTGTTCCATGTATCTGGTGATGGTGAGGAGTAGATGGTCCCACCCGAAGAGTAGCTTGTTTTTGATAAGCCACAGTTGCCAGTGTACCTACTAGAATTAGCAGCAGTAGGCAGAATCCCATGGACAGAAATACGTGGGTAATGGAGGGATTATGGTCTGAGGTAACCAGCAACCTAGGAGCATAGAAGGTACTATTGGGCCTGGAATAATACCTAGGCTGAGAAAGTGAAGGATACAGATATTTCTAGATAAATACTGTGTCGTGAAACCTTGCTTTATTCAAACATTAGCAAAACAATTTAGGACCTGAAAGCAGAAATAAGACCAAGATCCAAATACTTTAGCCACTTAAATTGTTGGTTTGGCAATGAATACATTGGTTTGAGGGGTATCACTATGGTGCTTGGGTAGCTAGACATGATCTCTTTAGTACTGCTTAAAGGAAGGAGTGCTAGGATCCCTAAGTCCTAGAGTTGGGGGAGCTCTATTACTATGTTTGAGGGTATCACATGATTGTGGGCCCCAGGTGATCATATGAGGGATATTTTCTCTAATACATGACCCTGTCTAAAACTATCCATGAGTGTATACTTAATAAGTACAAATTTAAACATCTGGATTCTGGGGATTCTAAAGAAAATTGCTTGGGATATTGTCTTACTTGCTGTATCCTGTGGTGAAGCTGGCTTCTCCATGATGTAGAGGTTTCTCCTTGAGAGTCAGGGACAGGGCCTTGTACAGCATGGCAACCAATGGCCCTTGGCAGCCGGGAGGCTTCCACATATGCACAGTGAACACCAAATTAGTGGTAATAGATAGGCTGTGGAAATAGCACCTGAATAGACATTTGGACCTATTAATGGAAGAATAGTCCCTGGAAGAGTGTATCTCAAAACAGGTGCAGGCTAAAGAGTGGGGACAGAAAGTCTTCAGAGGTGAGTTATGAAATGAGCATTTTCCACGGCCCATTTTATAATTACTCAGCCTAAGTTACCCTTTTACCTGCCAGTGCCACTTTTGTTCACCAGAGCCTGCAGGACTGCTTCAGCCAGCTCTTCTCCCTGTCGCTTGTCCGGTGAGAAGCCTGGGGCCCCAGCTAATCCTAAAGAAAGCTGGAAGAGCAGGTCTTGGGTTGAAGGACTCACAGGTGGAGAAGTAACTGCATTGGTACCTTCATTAATCTGGCACAACCAATCTTGGGGACAGTAGAGGAGACCAAAGTACCCAGGTATCTGCAAGGAAATATGTATGTAGCAGAGTTTAGCTGCAGCCTCAATTACCAGCTCAACTTTTCCTTTGAAGGAAAATGTACATTCTAGGTCAAAGTCGGGCCTAGTAGGTACTTAGTAAAAAAATGAATGAACATTACAACAGGTTGAATAGTACTATGGTGCAAGCATTTCCCAATTTTCTGCCAGTGCAGCACAACCAGTCACCTTGTGATCCTCACCTCAATATGCGCTCCTGGAAGGCATGAGACCCAAGGTGACCCCTCCGCCTGTACCATATATGCTTTCCTCTGTGTGCATTGATGTAAGTAGCAACGACCAGTGAGCTCTGCTTCCTTGAGATGTGGGAGTGGTTGTGAAGTGAGGTTGGCAAGGAAGCAACGGCTCTGGGAATGGTAGATCTCCCCATGGGGATTCTCCTCTCCAGCTGGGAGTCCATTTTCCTTCTTCCAGCATTCACTCTGAAGGGCAGGGCAGAAAGCAGAATAGTGTCTGTCTTGATGCCTTAGAAGTTGACTCCCAGGCCCACTCAGTTCCATTCTCTGCTCACCAGTCTACTCACACCATTGGCTAAGGGTTTATTACATGTGGCAGCCTTCCAGCATGGGGTCTGAGGAGCAGCTTCCCTTGTCCAAGTGCAGGTAATGGCATCCCAGCCCACTGTGTGGAAGGGATGCTTAGAGTGTCACTAGGATCACTGATAGCTGTGCAGTTCCCCCAACCACACAGCACGCTCACCTGCCAGTACAGAAGAAGTCTGAAGAGTCAGACCCACATGTAGTCAGTCACCAGGCCAAATTCTGTGCCAGCTCCTGCTTGAGAGGAAAAGAAAGGGAGCCCTCAAAAAAATAAGCCCCGGCTGGGTGTGCTGTCCCATGCCTATAATCCGAGCACTAGGAGACCAGTGCAGGAGGATTACAAATTTAAGCTCACCCTGGGCAATTTAGTGATTTAGTAAGACCCTGTCTTAAAGACCAGGTATGGTGTCTTATGTCTGTAATCCCAGAACTCAGGCGATCACCATGAGTTCAAGGCCAGCCTGGACTACATGGCAAGACTTATGTCAAAGAACAAAAAAAGAGGGCTGGGGGGTTAGCTGGCACCGTGCCTACCTCGAAAGCACAAGGTCCTGAGTTTGATCTCTGGTATAGAGAGGAAAAATCTCTAGTACTGGCAGTAAAAAAAAGAAAGAAAAAGCCCCAATCCCCAAGCCAGAAGTGGTGGTGCACACCTATGATCCTAGCATTTGGGAGACTGAGGCAGAAGGATCACAGATCTGAAATTTGAGGCCAGACTCGGCTATGGAGCAAGTTCAGACCAGCCTATAGAATACATGGTGAGATAAAAAAAAAAAAAAAAAAAAAAAAAAAAAAAAAAAAAAAAAAGGCAAACTAGCCAGACAGGCATCCTGGCTCATGCCTGTAATACCAGCACTGCCCTCTGGGAGGCTGACTGAGGCAGGAGGACCACAGATTTGAGCCTGGCCATTGAGGCTTATAATTTGGATTTCATGTGAATAGCAGATACCGTAATCCCTTCTAACCTACTGTATCTCACTTGGCCCTAAAGCTGACTTAGGTCATGAGTGCTGCTGTGGCGGTCCAGCCGTCACAACACTAACATGCCTGAGTTGGGGAGTGAGGATTGAGAAAGGACAGAACACTCAAGCCTGAGTAGAGACCAAGAGAAGTCTGATTTATTTCACAGAAACAGCTCCTTTTATAGGTTCACATCAACAGGAAGCACCAAGCAACTATTTGTATCTTTTATGGAAAGACCGGATTTTCTGACTTTACAAAGAACATCAGATCTATGGCTGTCTCTTTGAGTTTCTTCCACTGTAGCAACAAGTTTAACAAGCAGAGTCCTAGAATGTTACAGATTGTATCAATGCCTTGAGTGTAGAGGTGAAGAAGTTTCCTTTTAAATGTCAAACTCCTAGAGGGCCATGGCCGGGCTCCCACATGCTGCTTTGCAGATCTCCCTCATTTTCTCACCATGGCCCCACCACAGCTCCTCTGAAGCACTGTGGTTGACCTGATACCAGCCTGAATCTTCAAAGGCAGCAAGAGTGATTGGGTCAAGTCGTGTTCGCTGGGCACCATCAAAAGAAGCAGCCATTATTGAGCCCTGGAGCAGTCTGGCTTCCCAGTGTGAGGACAAAGGGCCCTATTGGAGGGGGTAGCAATTAGCTGGTTGCTATCTGGCGGCTCCCTCTTTCTTCTATCATCCCAAAGTATTATCATTCTCACCTCTTCTTCCAAAGGAACACCTAGTAAATCCCTTAGCACCCCTAAGTGTTTGGCCAGGCCGTGGCCAACAGCTGGGGTGGTAAGAAGCAGCTGTTCCCACTTATCTCGCCTTGTCACTTGTTGCCTTGTAGAACAGTTCTCTCTAACTGAGTAGAGAAGGCAATGTGAGGAGAGGAAATTTAGGAAGGGTGAAGTAGAACTGGAAGAAGGGAGGTCATGAGGTGATGAATCCCCTCTGGTTGACTTGGTAGGACTTCATCTCTCCCATTCCTCCCTCTTACCACTGAGTCCTGAGGGGCAGTCTTGCCACTTCTTGAAGAGCTGTCCAGAGAAACCCAGGGCATGGAACAATTCATGTAGTGTGGCCTAAGGACAAATGGCTGCTGAGCGAAGAGGTCTGGATTTGCAGCGGGATTGGCTGACCAGTATCTCTGCCCAATCAACACTTCTCAGTGATTGAGACACTTTCTCTTCCACTGCCTAGGAAGCTGAGTAGCCCCGCCCCCACCTGCTTGCTTCTCCCCATTTATCAGGCAGCAGTCACCATGACAATGTCATCATGGCTGAGGCTGGGACTGGTGAGATGCTGGGCACAGTAGAGAATGGTACCAGCAAGGGGCCTGTCTTCTGAGTCCAGCTGGCAACAGGCAGCATAGGCTATGACGGAGGGCTGGAGAGGGCAGGGTGGGAAGGAGGAAAGGAATGTAGTACACACAGAAGGAATCTCCCTGAAAACAGAAGACTTGAGAACTCTGAAGGGGTGGTAGTAAGACGTGGCTTGTGGGGTTCTTAGCCCCTACCTAAACTGTATCAGCATACTCGAAGTTATTCCAAAGAAGCACAATTTAATAAAAATTGCTTTTCTCCACCAGGCGTGGTGGTGCACCCCTATAATCCCAGCACTTGGGAGGCAGAGGCAGGAGGTTTACTGTGAGTTCGAGACCAGCCTGGGTTACATAGTGAGCTCCAAGTCATTCTCAACTACATAGTGAGATCCCGTCTCAAAAAAATTTTTTTTTTGGTTTTTCTCTTCTGTACCTCACCCAAGATTTAGACTAAACAAGTAGGGAAGGGAAGAGACTTGGTTGAACCTCACCTCTTGGTGGCACTTGGAGGTGTGGGCAACCTGAACATACAGGAGGAAATAAGTGTTTTGGACCCCAGGACCATCTGGCTGAACCAGTTGTGGGGGACCCCACTCTGGCCACAAGGCATATCCACAGAGATGGGCATCAGTCATCGGGCAAGAGAGTGAAATGTATATAGCTTAGCTGCAGGATAGGGACAGTGGGAAGCTAGGTGCTAGGAAGAAGACAGCATGAGTATCCTCAGTCCCTCTCAGCTCCTTAGAATGCAGCATCCTGCCCCTAACCATCTAAGTCTCTGTTTTAATACAGTCTGGAAAGGTGCAGTGGAAAGGGACTAAGGAATCCACAGTGTTGTGAGCCTGTATTGAGTAATTCTGCTACTGGAGGTCTTGAGGGAGGTCTAGAGATCTTCAGATTCCTAGGACTGGGAAGTTGCTCTCACCTTTGCCCCCAGGCAACTCTCTCCTTTGTAACCTGGGTTCAAGAGGCTACACCTGCCAAAAATGAGTATCTCTAGGTGAGCTGGAGACATTTCTGGTATCCCTAAAGAAGGATATGAACTCACCTGTGGTAGTTTGGGGTCTCTGGGTTGCCCCAGACATCATGGCAGTACTGTGCAGGGTCTCGACTCACAAGCAGGGGTCCTTGTACTGGAGGAACTTGACAAGAGTACAATTTCACCCTGATGTCTCAGAGTTCAGTTTCTTTTCTGTGCTGGTCTTCCTCTCTGAGACCCCTCTGCCCTGCAGCCCTCCTGATGCCTCTCATTCCTCACTTACCTGCCAGGACACCCTGGATTCGCTGAGTGGCCTCTTTCACTACGGCCAGAGCTCAGGATCCCCCTTTCATCCCATCATCTGAGGGATTCCAAACTCCAGAAGATGTAGGCTCTCCTGTGTAGTAGATTTGGATTCGGAGGGCTTGAGGATCACGGGAGCCAGGAAGAGTGAGGGAGATGGAGCAAAAGTCTGGGTGCATTTGGGAGAAAGCGGGCGTGAGGAGGGTCACAGACTTCTGGGTCTCATCATGTAGACATCTGCTTGTGCCCACCCCAGGGAGCAATAGCAGCAGCATCTCCTATCCTGCCTGAACCCTGTCTTCTGCTCTCTTCTTCCTTGGCTCTTTTATTTCTGCCTTTCCTCACTTTCCTCACTCTTCACCCAGCTCCACCACTCTTGCTTGTTTTTCTAAGATTCAAGTGTTGATGACTAAATCTACAATTCCCTGCCAGGAAGTTGGATATGAACCACAAGGGCCAGAGCCATCTTCTTCAAGGGTTGCCAGAGGTGGAGCACTCTGGGAGGGGAGTGTTCTCTTGAGGCCTCCACTGACCTTTCTAGGCCCCCTTGCACGGCTAGAACTGGGAATCAAACCCAGGGCCTGATAATGGGACTTGTTCCTAATCCTTTTCTATTCCTGTATCCTAATCCTCCTGCCTTTCTGATAGCTTTGGAAGCACCCCAGAATTTAAAAATTGGTGTGAACATAACAGGTAGGGTATGGGGCCATTCTTTGATTCACAGATACCTGAAAACAGGTGGGCAAACAGACCTCGGCAGTTCACTCCCCCGCTGTCAGAGCTGGCTGGCCTCTAACCAAACTGCAAGACTCTTAGATGTCTTCTACTTCTGTGTAGAGTTGTTAGTAGGTACACAACAGATACATGCTAGCTGATTGACAACTCCTATGGGAGCCTGCTGTGTTAGGTCTATGAGACTTCACAGAACTTGATACGTGTTTGAGGGAGGGAAAATAACTCTTAAAATGGACACTAATAGATGTTCAGATCTGTTTCTAGGAGGTAGATGTGGTGATACACACCTGTAATCCCAGCACTTGCGAGGCCGAGGCAGGAGAACTGCAAGATCAAGACCGGACTGAGCAACTTACTACGACTTAATCTCAAGGTATGTAGCTCAGAGGCACTGCGCCTGCCTCTCAAGCACAAGGTCCTGAGTTTGATCCCTGGTACCAGAAAAGGGGGTGGTGGTGCTGGGGATCTAGCTTAGTGGTATAGCACACACACACACACACACACACACACACACACACACACACCCCTGCCTTACTGAATTCTTGGAGCTCTCTTTTTCTTTACTCATTCTGTTTTTATATCCTGTCTTTTCTGTTTGGATGCTGCACCTCCCCTGCCTGGCTAATTCCTGTCTTTCCTCTAATTACTCCAGGAAGCCTTTCTTAACACCTCCAACTCAAATTCCACACCTGCCAGAGTCTGAGAGGGACCTTCAAGGGAAGGTGCCTCTCCTTGCAGCTCCTAACAGAACCACATCATCCTCTCCTATTTGTGCTGGCTTAGTGTCCTCTCTCCACACCCTATACTCCTTGAAGGGAACCTGCTTCCTGGCACATCCCACAGAGCCTAGACTTGGTTGTGTGGACAAACGTGCGGACTTAACCCCATTGTTTAATTTCTGAAGATGCAGGTCAGGGGTGAATGGCATGATTTAAACCAGCATGACTAATTAGTGATAGAACTGAATTTAAAGGACTCCTTGCTTCTCAGAGAGGCTAGATCTTATACTTTTCCATGTCAAAACGGTGGCTAGAACTACTGATTACAAGGAAGACACGCAAACTCTGGAGTCAAAGCCACCTGCCACTTGCTATGTATAAAATTTTGGCTGTTTCAGTTTCCTCATCTGTAATATGGGGATGGTTGTATTTATAGGGTTGTTTTGAGGAATAAGTAGTGAATGTTCATAAAATGCTGTGAATAGTGTCTAGCTCATAGTAAAAACTAAGTCAAGTAAAGAATAATTATTAGACATACACTTTCTTTCTTTCTTTCTTTTTGAGACAGGGTCTCACTATGTAGTTGAGACCAACCTGGAACTCACTGTGTAGCCCAGGCTGGTCTCGAACTCACAGCAATCCTCTTGCCTCAGCCTCCCAAGTGCTGGGATTACAGGTGTGCTCCACCATGCCCAGCTAGACATGCACTTTCAACTCAGAGGAAAAAAATTTTAGAATCAATTTATGTACAAATCTTTAGGGATTTAATCCCCAGTACTACAAAAACAAACATCTTCAGAGGACTCTTGTTTGTTCTCTAAGACAAACCTAGTCTCCTTCAAGTATCCGAAACTTCTCTCCCCTCCAGATTTCTCAGGGGTTGGCGGGGAGCTGGTTGGGATTTGTGTTCTGAATTCAGGGTCTGCCTGGCTCTTCCGGTTTGCTGGTCCCAACCTGCAGCCACTTCTAATGCTTTGCTGCTCCCTTGCGGCCAGGTTGAGAGGAGTGCCTCTGAGAGCCAGGGTTGATTTTAACTTCCGATGTGTGGGTGGAGCTTCACACACTGGCAGGAAAAATACAAGAACAGCTCTTTTCCCTCACCCACATGCCCGTAAGCAGCTGCATGAAGCCCCACAGACCTAATACAACAGCCTCCCATCAGAGGTGTCAGTCAACTAACACATACTTGTTGAGGACCTGCCTGCCCCTCAGCCCTGGCAGATGGAGATGCCTGAAACACCTGTGTTTCTTTATCGGAGTCCCTCCTTCCTGCCCTTGCATGTAGATTCTTCTTCATATTTCAACATCCAGGTTATCTGACCATTAAGACTTCCTTTGGCTCTCCTAGGCAAAATTAGTTTGCATATCCTTGAATTTTCAAATAGGGTTCTGTCTTATCTTCGGTGTACCGTTTAGTATATATCTTGACTTTGTGTGTTTGTTTCCCTCCTGAATTGCTGGCAGGGGTTAGGCTTTTGCTTTTTGGGATTTTTTGCGGGGGTAGATGTGGGTGTGTGGATGTGGTACTAGGGATTGAATCTACCACTAAATTACATCCCCAGCCCCGTTTGTTTTTTATTTTGAGAAGGGGTTTTGCTAAATTGCCCAAACTCAGGCTCAAACTTTTGATCCTCCTGCCTCAGTCTCCTAAGTGCTGGGATTATAGATGTGCACTATCACAGAGACTGAGTCTTATTCACTTCTGCCTCTTTGTAGATGTATGAGGTAGCTGCAGAGTGATAGTGGAGGTGGGATGAAGATAAGGAAAGACTTCTAATGTGGTGGCACAAGCCTATAATCACAGCACTCTGGGAGGCTGAGGCAGGAGGATTGCAAATTCTAGCCCAGTTTGGGCAACTTAACATTTTAGTGAGATTCTGTCTCTAAATAAAATAAAAGGGGGTGGGGAGCTGGGGATATATTGTGTAAAGGAAGGCCCTGGGTTCAATCTCCAGTACTGAAAATAAGTAATAAATTTTCTAAAAGATAAGGAAAAGGTAAGGAGGTAATGAGAGTGAGAATAAGAATCATGTTATCAAGCACTCCTTTGTGCCCAGAAATTGCTCCAAGAACTTTTATTTATTTATTTATTTTGTATTTGGGATTGAACTCAGGTTCTTGCGCTTGTGAGTCAGGAGGCAGCACCACTGAGCTAAATCCCTGGCCCTGCTCCAAGCATTTTTTATGCATAGAATTCTCCCAGGTATTACTATTACTGTACAACTGAGGCACAGTAAAATCAAGCAATATGCAGAGCTGGTAAATGGCAGAGAGGGATTTGAACCCATGTACGTCACTAACCCACTAGGTAGTAAGGCTTCTTGAGGGCCAGAGGGGAGGGGAAGAAATGTCATGACTAGCGGAAGAGGATCAGGGTGGTGATGAGGCGGGGATGAAGGGATAAGAGAGGCTAGGTTTAGACAAAAGAACAGGAGCGAGAGAGTGCGGGGGGCAAGGAGAGGAAGACTGTGAAGACAGAAAATGAGGGACAAAGAGAGAGGAAGCAGATGAAGACCTGGTGGGTGAGAGGCCTGGGGCGGGCGAGGACAGCAGTCCCCATTGTGGTGTTGTCGTCCAGATGATGCTCCCTCCAGCCTGCCAAGCCTCCTGACCTTCTCCTTCAGGCCCCTGTGGCAAGTCACAGGCCACCTCAGCCCAGAGCCTTATCATCACCAGAAACTGCAGCACCTACGAAATAACTGAATCAAACATCCCCTTCTCTGATACAATCTCCTCTCTTCAGGGTTCATTTGCTGAATTGGTTCACTGCAGCTGTTCTCAAGTGCCCTGGGGAACTGCGACCCTTCCCATCTTTACCTCTGCCCTCCTCTGCCGTGGGTCCAGATTTGCAGGTGGAACCCTCGCCTACATGCCCTCAGCCCCTTCCCAATCTGCCCTTTCCATCCACCTCACTGGTTAATGGTCAGCCCCAGATGGACCCCACTTTAGTCTGCACTTGCTCTCCAAGGACCAGGGAGAAAATCACCCCAGAGGACAAACTTTGTCATGCCACAAGTCCCATCAACTCAATCACTTGCTTCCAAATCAGAAATCTCAGCAGTTAGCTCCCTCTTTCACCCTCATCAATGGAATTTTATACTTTCAAGCCTTGCCTCCAGCTAAGCTACTTTTATTTTTATTTGGTTTTTTGAGACAGAATCTTACTATGTAGTCCAGATTGATCTTGAACTCACTATGTAGCCCAGGCTAGCCTCAAACTCTTGGCGATCCTCCCGCCTCAGCCACCAGAGTTCTGGGATTATAGGCATGCGCCACCATGCCTGGCTCGGCTACTTTTAGTTATCTCTTCTTTCTTGATGAAAATAAAAACCATAAGACGGGTACAGCCTCCACCTGCTATAAACCTGTCTGTACTGATATCCTTTGCTATTTCTTCCTTTTCTCGCTAAAAGAGAATGAATGTCCTCTTCCCACGGAAGGTCAGCCTTCCCTGGATGCTCTGTGCTCCACTGGCGGGAGTGTGGCCTCAGCCTCCCTTCCACCTCACCTTGGGCCCTCCTCCCCTGGTTCGGCCTGGACCACCATAGCCTCCACCCTGGCCTCTGCCATGGAGGGAAGAACCTCCTTATGGATCTCTGTGTATACTTCTCTCTATGCTGGGAGCCCTGCTTCTCACCAGATACATTCCCACTCATCTCTTAGATATCTGTCCTACCTGACCTCACCCCCCTGTTTAAAGTAGGTGCCGGGCTAATATCTGTCACTAATCATCCTTTACTCTTACCACACAGCGCTTCCCATAGTATAGAATTGTGTGTTTGTTTGTAATGTCGTGTTTGTAACTCTCACTAATCTGGGAA